TTTTCGTAAAACATTAAAACAATTAGTCAAGTAAAGGATAATGCTCAATTTCAATGTCTATCATTTTTTACAATTTTCTATTTTTCCAACATCGACTGAGTGCGCAAAGACTGCATCGTGAGATGATGTAAACGTTTTTACCCGTTGTTGTCAGTAACACGCAGTAGTTGAATTTACAAATCCATATTTTCTGTTCACGAGGACACCGACAAGAGTGTGTGTGAAAGTATACACGCTTATTTTAATATACGAACCTTGCCCCCACCCCCGTGCTCGTCGTTTAATCATTCGGCCTTCCCTGATCGTAAAGCAGAACGCAAACATAGACCGGCAATGCGATGGAAAAAAGCAGCCGTTAACAAGAGAAAAACGCGCTCACGCAATTAGATTCGGTTGAAAACAACACCCGCCTACTCCGGGACTGCCGCGCATTTTCTGCTGTCATCATGTCAAAAAAATTGAAATAAGAATGAGCAATCATGAATAAACAAAACTCCCTTTCTCTCTCTAATTAATGTATCCATAAAGCACTGTAAACATCAAAACATCATCCAGAGTGTATGAGAGTAATCACAGACCCCTTGGAACAAGTCTAATTGAATCAAGGTAAATAAGCCGGCACGATTAATTACTGTCTTTGTGCTGCGATTCCTTCTGTCCCTAATATACATACGCTTCTAAGAACACGCACAATTGTGAGCTAGATTTCTGTTGATAAAATGTTCGTTTATCGTATCGCCGCAAATTGTGATAAAACATTCGCGCAGTCGGTCTAAATGTTTTTTGCGCAAACTATATACAACTGCGGCGCACATCTATTTATGGATGGATATTGCGCCGTGTGTGCGCGGTCAACGCTGCAGCTGCATTTACTTTGCGAATCTTTCATGCTAAACCGAGAGGTCTAATGAAACATTGATAAACGATTTAATGAGATAACAACATTAATTAAAACTATCCTAGCTATAGGAAGTCATTAACATTTTGGCATCGGATATAGACTCGATCGAGGTCTGATTCTTTCTTGCCAAATTCCAGAAGTTCGATTCTTGACCAACAGAATTTCTGAGATACGGTGTATCTTAGATTTTCAAAGATATAATTAGTATACTTAGGATTCTTGCACTTAGCTTCCGTGCTCAATATAATGAGTGCTATATGCGCTGATTAAATATACATATTTGTGCAAACTTTGTATAAATATACAAATGACTTCCGCTATTGGCAAACGCTGACACACATCACTTGTGGGTCGGAAGAATGGTCAATCAGTAGCGAGTGGGTTGTTATTTTGATACTCAAGTGTCGATGTTTGCGACAACTGCCGAAACCACGGCGGAATAGAAAACTACGCATTTCTGTCCTCAATAAAGCTGACAGACGTCTGTTTCGGTGAATATTTGAATATTTAATTAGCGTATTCTTATATATATAGGAGCGAATCGTGGATTCGTGGTTAGATCAGTTCAGTGAAAGCTGTCGAAGACTTGCTCTGTTTCTCCAATTAGATGTGTCATAAAGTCAACAATCAACTGCAAAATCCAAGGTAAGAAGTAAAGAGTATGTACAAATGTACTATTTAATCAACATATTTTGTGGGTCTGTAATCTTTCCGAAGGGAAATGTCTTATACTTGATCTTCGCGCTAAAGGCTGAAAAGTGCTCTTCTAAAAGTGTGGCATTCGACCGGCAGGATGCAATGGAATTCTTTGCTTTTAAAAAAGTCAGCAGTATAGCCTCATTATTTTTTAAAAAACACAGCAACTTCATTATAATTTGGTTTTGATTTGATCCTCATGCATGTGGATTAAGTATAAACTCCCCAGAATGGAAATGTATCGTACTATTTTCCAAGTGACAAATATCTGTATTATAGATCGTGTGAAATAGAGATAAAAATGTAATTCATAAATTCACTTGAAAGTAGGTAGTACCTAACGTAGTTTAATAACTAAAAAAAGCTGTACGAAGAAGACTTGCGTCGAGATTTGATATCTGAGTGCGGCCGGATTGGTCGGTGCACATGTAAGCGTTTAAATACTACTTAGAGTCTTAGTGTAGGACTTTAATGACATTTTTTCGTCTGACGATTTAATTTAAAACACATAAAAAATTACGTGGTACAGCGTATATATATAATTTTGAGGATCAGCTTATAGTTTCAAATTTTGTTCAAGTGAGGAACTGATTATTTCAGTTCTTCGATAAATGATGAATATTTGAACTTTCCATGGTTATTCATTATTTTTTGTTTATTCGTGTTTCGATTCAGATTAACGAAGAATTTTCAATTATTTATTACTGATTCGACAGTCCACACATTCGAGTCAATAGTTAATAGTATAAGCTGGTATAATCAACTGTATAATCAACTTTACTGGAGGAGTTCAATTGGTAGTCGTAAATTTCCGATCGTAAACAAAAGATATATTTACAAAGATATAGAGGGAAAATGCGTTTCAATTTCAGGAAATCTTCTAATAATGTAACTACTTCGTTCCGCTTCGTCTCATCAAAATGAGGTCTCATATCTCACATTGGCAAGAACCACCCGGTCATGTGGTGAACATACGGTTTTCTGGTGCTTTAAAGATTAAGGCTTATATACTTATACTCTTCATGCATACCTTATGATGGCATCATGCACTATAGGCCTATATACAAGAACCTGTGGTTATAGAGCTCGACAAATGCCCTCTGTAGCTCAGTTGGTTACTTTACCACATGTAATTCACATTTAGTGAAATAAATTTCCATCTGTCATTCAATTTTTCAGACAAAACATTAAAATTAATATCATGACACGACACTTTATACCGAGGTGCATGACAGGGCCAACAAATTGTCCGATTTTGAAGTGAAGGGGGGGGGGGGGAGCAGTGGCTGCAGCCCAATTAATGTAATACAGTTGAATAAGGTCGTTTCTATATAGCATTCTTGTCCCAAAGAATTATCCTACATGATTTGTAGCGTGATTCGGTTAATCATGTATAATGAAATGTTTAACTTGTTTTTATTATGATAAAAAGTCTAAAGATCTAGATCTGAATTTATTGGTATGGTAGCTATATATATTCGCTCTTCGATCCTTGAAAATCTGCTAGATTCCATGCATGTAGTACAAACATGTTAAAACTCCGAAACGAGTCGGATCTCAACGGCCAATTTCTATATATTGATATAAAATATATTATTAATTAATAGATCTATATTTTCATCAGAACAGCTATCTCATTAGAAACGGACTTTCACTTAAAAGCAGCTGACAGTCTTCGCACCGCGGCTGACATACAAACAACGATAATTTGAAAGATAACAACACAGTCTTCAATATTCAGAGTCCAGTATCGCCATCTATTCATTTGTATCAGTATTAAGTATAGGTGGCCACATTTAAATTCAGTCTGATTCAACAGAATTGGGGGAAAGGGATAACATCACTCCATTAAATGAACTTGACGTGCTTACTGATGCATGTCACTGGATTTTGTATATCTAGCTCATTTTGCTCCAATATTCTTCTTTAGGACTGAGGTATTAAATACGGTTTAATTTAAAATGTCTCTTGTTTATGTTAGCTATTTTTAACAGTTGCATGGTGTATAACCTAAACTACTGACATTTGAAGTTAGATTATTTTCGGCGTGGTCGCCTATAATTTTGAAAACAGTGTAAAAGTAAACTATGTTTAAACGAATGTCTTTTAACTGTAGTTTGGATTGGCTGCATAATTAAGAGCCCTAACCGCAAGCCTGACATACATGTCTGAAAAGTCTGTGAATTTTTGTATCTATTAGTATTATATACATTATGAATATGAGACAGCGCGTGCACCAAATTTAGGTTTTTGCGGTTTGGTGTCAAGTAGAATTTTTTTTCATGAATTTATCTCCAATTTTCATATGCCGCTTGGACTTCATCCAAGGTGAGATAAATTTGAAAGAATGTTTTTCTTTTTCCAAAAAAAAACAAACTATTGGTGTTGAAATGGCAGTTCCATATGTACTTGCAACTGAGTTCCTAATTGGATCCACGAGCTTCGCGTTTTTTTATCATTCGGTTTTTAAAACTCCGAATCACATTTCATGGTACGTCGTGCATGATAGTTGTTTGCTAACATTACATTTCGATTGCGAGTTGTTGTTTTTTTCCAACTCAGTTCATGAGTTGACAGCAGTTTTCTTCGTCTTGTTAATTTTATCTAATTAAGTTGGGTATTGAAACAATGATATCATTCAAGCATTAACGTTTCGACTGTTACTGTTAGCATGTAAATAGTCCAACATTAGTGATAAACATTATAGGCCTAGTAATAATATTTAATTCCATTACACCATTATAGGCATTACTGGTGGTATACTTAATACAGAATCAATCACCAAATAAATTCGTCTGAACTCGAGACATCAGTCAAAAATGTTACAATGACAAGGATTCAATTTAAAGTATAAACTCTATATTAAAAGGTATTTATTGAATTACAGACACATGCGGTCACACAGAAAACAAGATAGTTTTGTCCCTCATTTCCTAGTACTCTAATTCCTACCCCCACTTTCATTTCCTTGTTTTTTTAGTCTTTACTTTAATACCTTTTATTAGAGTAACTTACATTTATTCATAATCCTTGTCATTGTAATGTTGCTGTTAGTCTGAAGATGTTAGTCTGAGAAATTTCTGCCATATTGTAATTATATAGTCCAGGTTTGAGGCCGGAGATTAATGGTGTAAGTTAGATATATTTTAATACTCCAATGTCCTAATGACATAAACGTGACAACTTTTTTTTCTTTTTAATGTTTTTTGCAAGAAAATCTTGTATAATTCCACTCAGCACAGACTTACGAGCACATGTAATATTCTCACGGACCAATACTTTACATTAATTAAAAAGAATAGGAATTGTACTTGTCATATACTTAATTGGCTCTGCCTCTGAGAATCACAAGTGCCCGCAGAAAATGAATAATTGATAATTCATTCCAGAAATTAACATCCAAAAAACCGTATCCCGTCAAAATCATATCTCGTATTCATATTAACGGATGGAATTAATAAATGCACTGATACTTTTTTTCAAAAGGAAATAGCCCTGCGCATAAATATATGCATGGAACATTGAATTTCCAAAACAATGAAAGACAATGGAGCATTCCATCACTGAATCGTGATTATAGATGACACTATTGACTATTGTTACGCTTTGGAAAGATATCTTATTTTCCTGACCCGAACAGCCTCGCTTGTTGATAGCTTCATGCATGTAAAAAGTTGTCCAAAGCTGGATTAGCGCTAACCCTGGGTTAAAATTTAAGCCGCTCTTTTGGTTTGGTTATAGATCTGCAAATCCGCGTTTATTTAAAAGCCGTATAGTTTATAGAAAGTATTATACGTTTCTTGTTCCAGACAAGATTTCTAGAAAAATGCCTCAATGTTTACGAACAAGCTGGTGGGAAGATTATTTTGAAGTATTTCGCTAACCAGCTTTTGAACAACCGACCCCATGCATGCAGTATATATAACTGAATCTTGCCGCAAAACATAGAATTCAACACTCCATGCATTTTCACATGTTCTCCGACTGTAATTGTCCCGCATGTCGACAACATTTTTTGACAATTGTGATAGCATTGATTGTTGCACCAGATTCATTTAATTTGATGAAGATTTCGAGATAAAGTGCATAAGCTTATTATATTCAACAATTAGTTTGATGTTATCTTATTCTTTGCCTTCTGGCGGTATTCATGTCAATATGAATTGTGTGGTTGCCAAAAGCTTAAAGTTATCGCGACTGGACATATTTCTCGAAAATGTCTCGAAATTCCTTGGCACAGTAACAATGTAAACGCCCATATATAAGAACTATCGAGACGAATTCTTCTTCTAAAGTTGTTTATTACCAGAATTTCAAACACATCAAAGGTGAATCACTGAATATATGATCAACTTGTGTTTTCTACATTATCTCAAGAGCTGTATATGCTTTTTAAGTATCTGTTATTTTTCAGCAGTATCATTGAATGATGAAAAGTAATATATCATAAACGAGAAAACGTTTATTGATGGCGTATAAAATACCTTTCCCTTTTCAAATGGCAGAACTCCCTTTACAAATGCTAGAATTAACTCCCTTTTCAAATGGCATGGACTTGCTTTTCAAATGCCGGAACTCCCTTTTCGAATGGCAGAACTCCATTTTCAAATGGCAGAACTCCCTTTTCAAATGCCAGAACCTGGTTTTCAAATGCCAGAACTCCCTTTTCAAATGGCCGAACTTGGTTTTCAAATGCCAGAACTCCCTTTTCAAATGGCAGAAGTCCCTTTTCAAATGCCAGAACCTGGTTTTCAAATGGCAGAACTTCCTTTTCAAATGGCAGAACTCCCTTTTCAAATAGCAGAACTCCCTTTACGAATGCCAGATCTCCCTTTTCAAATGGCAGAACTTGGTTTTCAAATGCCTGAAGTACCTTTTCAAATGCAAGAAATACCTCATAAATCAATATTAATGGGTTTGAGAATAACATTTTAAGAACTATATACCCTTTTAATTAAAGTACGATCTGTACAAAACAATATCTAGTGCGATCAAGGACACTAATGTCAACCACAGTTAATTAATCAAAATATTGAGTAAAATTACTTTTAATCAAAATATTGAGTAAAATTTTACTCAAAATATTGAGTAAAATTACAGCAAAGTTACTTGTTGTTTTACCAGGGAAATAAATCTCTACTCATTGAGTAAATTTGAAAGTTTACTTTAAAATTTGAGTATATTTGCGCTCATATATTTGCTCAAAATGAAATCCTTTGAGTCACTGCATGGATGCATTATTTTGCTAACATTTTTGAGTGAAAATACTCAAGGACTTTTTGGCAATTTGTGCTGATCAAAAGCATCCCCGCGACGACGAATATACCATAGTGACAGACGGTTTATAGAAATATAAGCTGAGATTTAAAAAATTCATTATCATTCTTGACATGTTGTACTTTTCTTTGCAAATCCGGAACTGACAAATGCCTTTAATTGAATTAATTAAATGAATTATAAAGTATTTGTCTGTTTGTTGAATTATTGCGTGAGCATGTAACATGTCGAGGTGTTTCTTTCAAGTTCTAGTAAAAATACACCAACCTTCATCTATTTGGAGATTTTTCAGAAAAAATAAGAAAACGTTTGCGAAGAAGGTTGGTAATTATAGTTTTCAATGAAAGCATGAATGCTCATTGATGAGAAAAGGCCGACCCGTTTGCAGACAGACGAATTAAATGTGGTTTTCAGGCAACCCACAGACAGAGCAGAATCACATTGAATGTTTGCCATATCCTAATAAACTAATATCCTTTTCGGAAACAGACAGCTGTGGTGTGAAGGATATACAACTCCCTGAAAAATAAAAAACAGACTGACTTCGATGTTTCGGGTGAAAGTCCTTTATCAACGTTCTGCTTCCAGAAAAAAGTCGGTTAGGGTATCAGTTCTTCACACCTTTACTGTCTGTAATAGCATAGTTGCCCGGGTTTCTTTTGTTTCAACAGGGACGTTTAATCACGTATCGCCCGCTGTAGCGGGCGATTAGTTCTAATCGCCCGCTAG